AATTTAATGAATCGATTTTCAACTTGAATTTCATTTTGAGATATTTAAATATTTGAGTGCAAACAATATAATTGCAAGCAAATTGGAATACATTTATTTTGCATTAAGTATAAACGAATAATTGAGATCTTAAAGCCATAAAGTGTAAATTTGTTTTTTGTTTTAAATTATTTTTTTGTTGAAAAGTCAGAAGTCAATTCGATGGCTCAGCTATAAACGTAACCGCAATTTAGAACCCGAACTGAACGGAAATTTACCACTTTTCTTAAGAACCAGTTACAGGAACCAATATTATTACTAATCTTGAAGTAATTCACCTGCTTACCGGAACCATTACACTTTACCGGAACCGGACCGGAACACGAACGCTAACCGAAACGTTCTTAGGTTTCACACCTCAATCTTTTTTTGAAAAAGTGAATCTCTTTTGCATAAGTCGGATTTATAAGCTTAAAACAGAATGTGCTCAAAATGAGCATTATTTTCCCAGGCTGCTTTTTATTAAACCGAAAACAAATGAATCAAAAAGAAAAGTTTCCATTTGCTTTATGTTTGTCTTGAGCTTGAAACCAGATAATAAGTAATCAACAATTGATTAAGGGGTATCTCCTTGTCGAGCCACGTTGCTTGCTCTAGTTGTTATCTGTTATGTGGCGCCACGCGGCGTATGCGCAATTAGCCAGCCTCATTTTCGATGCTGCGTCTCACTAATTTCAGTCTCTTTATCATATTTGTTGCGCTCAGCGGGTTATAACACTTTTTGATTGGCAGAAACACACGCACACACACACACACACACACACCCAGTGAGACAGGGGTGGTCATAAAATGTTAATAATTTCATTTGATGATTTTTTGCACGTTATAAAACACTCAGCAACCGTTGACATTGACTATATGACGCATTGCGAGTTTATTTTTTCACAATGCCAGTGAAAATATGTTTTTTTTCTTTGTTATTTTTGGTTGAGAAATTTTCGTTTTGTTGTCTCTCGAGTTGTTTTTTGTCTCTGGCAAACGCAGCGGCTTTGCTGGCATATAAATCAATCAAATGCAGGCAGAACACACAATGCACGCAAAGATCAACAGCAACAGTGGTCTGGTTGCGAGTAGGGTGGGGAAACGGAAGCCAAGAATCCATGCAAACATTTTCAATTAAAAATTGCTCTGTCATTTGTCAGTATACATCTGGCTATATATATATGTGTGTGTGTGTGTGTGTGGCTGTGTGCGAGTGAGTGCGCCTGCTTGTCCATTTCTTTCGTTCACTGTCACTGTCTAATATTGCCAATTGCTTATCCATCACAATCAAAGTGAGGCATTAGACATCCAACAACGTCGTCTTTGCTTGCAGAATGCATTCATATCTTTTGTCGATAGTGCTTCGCAAACTGTGTTTATTTTTTTTTTTATGGAATCTTATTGTTGTTGAGGTTCTTCGATATTTGATGTGAAGTTTCATTCATGTTGAATTCTTAGCAAATGTTGGCTTTTATGAAAATGTGTCAAGAAGTAGGCAACATATTGACGAAGGCATCTCTGACCTCTTAAGGAATATTTGCTTCTCATCAGCATCCCAAGTCGAGTTGATATATTGGTGCACGTGAAAGAGTTCCTTGCAGGCAGTATTTATCAAAACGTGCCTCATCGGATCACTATATAACACAGCAATAATTAGAGTAAGCTGCTGAAAATATTTCCCAGCCGTCTTTTTGCTGCAGTCAGTGCATACATCAGAGCCGGCCTGATCGGATCACTATGTCTCCTAGCAATAATCAGATTAAACTCTGGAAAATATTTTCCAGTATTTGGATACATTTCTAATTGAGTTGCCAGGCAAGCATCGTTGCATAATTGATATCTCAAGCATATACCATGACTTCAAGTTCCATTCAATTTCTAGTTCGATTCATGCATCGGCCAGTGGCTCTCAAACTATGATAAGCGGTTACTTTAACCCAGTGCTCGGACTTTTTGGCCTGGAGGCAGCCTTTGCGCTCAAAATTCAATTGTTGTTAATCGTCTTGGCCAGGTTGAGGTCCCTGGATGTGTTTGTGTTGTGGCCCAGTGGCGTTGCTCGTATGGGAAAGCAGCTCAGAGCAGCAAAACACATTTGGCTTCCGGCTAAATGCACCTTGGAGGCACTTTTGACTTTGGCTGGTGGCCCAAACACACATTATGGCCAATGTGTTCGGCTCCTGGCTGCTTGCTGTTATGTGTTCTCTATGCCTTTTATTTGCTGCTGCTGCTGCTGCTGCTGTTACTGCTACTGCTGCTGTGGCCTATGCCTGCTAATGGATTTTAAATGAGCATCATAAATACTAAACCCAAAATTGCTTCAACGCCCCCCACACACACATACACACACACACACACGCAGGCACACTTACTAGTATTTGTGCCTAGAATTCTTTGGCAGTACTAACTTGAATTTCTCAGTTGCTGCCTGTTTCGTGTCTTCATATTCCACTTTTTGCAGGCTGTCATTTATTGTGTTTTGTCTGTTTTTGTGTCTACTACACTCGATTCGTGTGTGTGTTTGTGTATTTGCGTGTGTGTGTGTGTGTGAAATAGGAAGAGGGAGCGGTGGGTTGCTAGGGATTGGGTAGGAGTTTAACCAGCTTTCGGTAATACCTTTTTATGCCGCTTAGGTGTGCTTTCAAATTTGTCATTAAGTTTGTAACGTCTCAAAGGATTATTTTCGCAATTTGCTTAATTTGCATAATTTGTGTAACTTTTGTGAGAAGTCTTCAAGTTTTTGCTCTTCTAATTATATCTAGTTCACATTTTTATTTAAATTTAATTCTGAATACGAAGACTCTTTCATGAGAAGTCTTTAACTTTGTATCTATTATAATTAAAACTAGTTGTTTTTCTTTTCAGTTCATTTCCAAATATTTTTTGAAATTTAATTTGAGTTTGTTTAATAATTGTAAGCGATTTAAATTGTAGATGGTGATAAAGCCACACGAAGTTCTCTGTACAATTTGATAAGTCTTTTGCTTTTTATATAATTACTTTTATATTTTTATGTTTTATTTATTTATGTCATTAAGCTATAAAGTTGAATTCAGTAATTCAATTAAATTTATTTATTAATATTATTATTATTTGTATTATTATTTTGTTTTTATTTATATACTTGTAAGTTAATGATTTCTGCAAAAATGTTAAGTTGAGGTATATTTAAGTTACACATATAATTCAAGCACAAAAATAATTTATTCTTTTGTTTTATATACATATGTATTTTTGTATACACTAAACTTTGTATTCTATTATCTATGTTTTGCTGAGAGAGCATTTAGTTATGGTTGTGACTGCATTTTCCACATTCTTGTTTGACTTTTTCTTGAATAGTTATTTTATTTTTATTTTGGCTTTTGGTTGGTGCTGCTGCTGCGAGGACTATAAATATTTGTTACGCTGACGTTACGAGAACGCTGCATGTGACACAGACACAAACACAAACACACATAAACAGACACACACACACACACACACACACACACACACACACACACACACACACATACGAGCATACACTTACACATGTACCGGTTGTTGTTGCCTGTCTACAAATCCGGCGTGTTGTATAAAAGTGACTGCAATTTATGTTTTCCTATGAATATATTTGCGCTCCTCTCCTCTCCCTCCTAGGCCACGCCTCCCGCTGCTCTTGTGGAAACTGTTTCGCTTTCACATATTTTTATTTTTCCACCGGTTAGCAACATTGGAGTATAGTCCTAACTGTTACTCGTTTTGATTGCATAAACTTGATGCAGATTTCATTTGTTGTCATTTTTAGTGATTTTTATTAAATGCAAGTAACGTGACAAGTTTATTGCGCATACGCAGCGTTGGCTCAGCCATGAAATTTAATATTGGCTAAAATGATAAAACGCTTAAGACGGTTGCCATGTGTACTGTACACATACACACACACTTCCACACACCCAGCTTTATGCTGCACTACAGACTTGTCAGCTAATATAACAGCTTGAGACTTGAGACGCCTTCCTCGCCGCAGGAGCAGCTTTTACTCTGTGTGTGTGTGTGGAAACCAATAACTAGCAATCAACTACTGTGTGTGTGTGTGTGTCTGTGTGTGTGTCTGTGTGTGTGTGTGTGTGTACGCCAAACTCTTTATGCGTCTGTCATGTGTGGGGCTTTTTGGGTCACGTTGATCATGCGACTAAGCTGAACGAGCAACATTTGTTCAGCAAACTGCAGCATTTAATTACAAAATGTGACAAAGAGAAATAGTAGAAAATAATATGAGGACATCAAGCGAGGAAAGTGAGAGTGCAATGCAACGCACTTTAAGTGTCCTGTCAACAATCAATTAAAGCGAAGTGAACATTAAATGTATATTAACTTTACAAAACAAATGTTGATATAAATTTTCACTTGAAATAAATTCTGTTTTATTTTGTGCAAGTTGAAAAGCAAATAAAAGTTGGTATAAGTAAATAAAAATTGGAAAAAATACCAGCATTATATTGCTCAGGCTATATATATTTATATATATTTAATTGTATTTAATATCGAATGAAATAAACACAGTATTTTCATATAGAACAAACTAGAATCATCAAGTCTACTTCTGCATATTGAGTATCTTCTAGTCGAGCTGTCTCTTGTATTCTAATTTGTTTATTATGTACAAACTTCATTGTTTAGAAGTTAAGGCATTTATTTTGAGCTTCTTGTACTTTATCATTTATATATATCACCTGGCACCGTAAATATTGCACACTTCATAAACAGGACGGCAACAACAATTTGCAAGAGCCCACTAAAAAGCATAAAACAAAAAGCCACCAAAGTCATAAATTTTGAGTCTATGGCAGGCATTTCTTTACTATTTTTTTGCTCCATTTTATGTGTATTTCTTTTCTTTTTTTTGTTTTTTTGGCTGCAGTCCGTATCATTTGAGGTCTAGAGAGTGTAGTAGCCGCCCAATTCCCATACCGATTCCCCGCTGCTTTTATACTCACAGTTGACATTTAGAGCAACGCTGGTCTCGAGCGTATGACCCTCGGGCATGGCACGATTCCAAACGACGCATATGTACTTGGCACCATCGTCGGCCCGCCTGGGAAGTATCTGCAGTGTGGCATTTGTGTAGTGGTTCTTGGAGCCGCCCTTCAGCGCATACGACTGCAACGGCACTTTGCTACCCTCCCGGAACCAGCTGCAAGCGAGAGGCAGAAACAGCGATTTAGTGCCGAAAAAAAAAAAACAAAATAAAAATAGGAATTGTGTCGGGTTTGGGGATTATTAATGAAGGCGACCAGTTAAGTGATTTACTTGCCGCCGGATGTGCTTAAACTGTCGCTGACCACAGCACCAGCGACGACAGCTGAAGCCTCCCCAAAAAACCTATATATACTTCTATATAAAAAATGAAGGCTTTCTCGCAGAAAAAAATGTAAAAAATAAAAAGTTAACTTTTCATTGTAGGATTTGTAATACGCTTGCGGGCTTGTAAGTAAAATAGTTATATCATCTGCAGTAAACAACTTATTTTTATATATGTATAACAACAAAACACGATAGATATCAAAATGTACCCATGTTTTTTAAGGCCAATTGACACTCTGTAAAGCATTAATTACATTAAAAAAATTAGTGGCATTAAATAAAATTACAATTGAAATATATTTAAATAGAAAAAATGTTCTAGTCTGTCCATTAATATTATTATTATTTATTATTATCGATTAATATATTTGAAATACATTAAAAAAAAACACTTTCTAGTCGTCTAGCAATATTATTTACTATTTTTAATAATTGTACTCTCATTATTACTTTCCTCTCACTGTGATTGTTATCGTTAATCTCATTGTTACTTTGACTTTCCCTCAACTGTCAGACATTTGATCTGACATTCAAAATATACCCTGAAAGCACTAAATAAATGCCCAATATCCCGAGAGAAGTGTATCTTCAATTTGCATTTATAATGGGCTCTTACGTTATCATCGGATCCGGTGAGCCACCGATGCTGCTGCAGGTCAACTCGAGTGGTTTCTCCTCGGTGGCGACCGCAATGTTGCCGGGCGTCACCATTGGCGGATGTGGTGCCGTCAGCACCGTTACATTGTAGAACTCCTGATGCACATCGGCCCCGGTGCCTTTGGCCTTGATGCGGCACTCAAAGCGTCCATTGTCCCGATTGTACGAGGTGTTCTTAATTTGCAGATCGTAAATGCCGCGACCCGGTCGAAAGTCAAGTCTGCAAGCGAAACAGAGACAGCGATAATGTGAGAGAGTGAGAGAAAAAGTGAATAATCAGCGAATAAAAAATGCAGAGTGTGAGTTAAGGGCGCCGATTTGTAGCAAGTAAGGCAAGACACGAAAAAAAAGGCAAAAAGTTGGAGAAAAAATATTTTCTACTTTATGTAAATTAACTGCGGCCATACTTTATAAATTTACACAGCTTGAACTGCGCATATATATACATATATTTTATATTTATATGTAGGAACGTGTATTAAATTTCCTGTGATTTTCATTTTTTATTTTTTATATAAAAAGCATATTGGTTTGTTATTTGGTCCTGTAACATAAGCAGAGATACTTCAACGTTTGCAGAGGGAGTTATAATTTTGTGGTCAAGTTTGTCACGCATTAAAGTACACAGCGGCGATCCCATATATGGTATATATATTCTTAATAAGCATCACAAGCCGGAGCCGATATAATCAAGTTAATCTTTTTGTCTGTTCAATTTTAGATCAATCTTGATGAAACTTGGAATATATCAGCAAATATGTCGGAAAATGTGTCGGAGCTGATCGGATCACTATAAAATATAGTTGCCATTTCAGTAATCGATTGAGAGATGATTTTTGAATTTTGGAATCTAGATAAACCTAGAACATGTTGCAACTCCTGCATTTTTCTTCCTTTTTTTTTAATTCTTTGTCCTGTTGCTATGCAAACAAGGACCATTTTCGAGAACTTTAGTTGAATCTTGACATTTAAAACCTTGGCTGTGTCATTCAGATTGAAATCCTGTTCCAGACTGTCTTGGTGAGGCTTTTGCATACAAGTGTATTCCGTATTTAATTTGTTTTTCTTCAAAACATTATATTTGTCGAGGTTGGGAACCAGATGATCACAATCCTAAAGCTTTAGCTAGCAACTCTCCTTCAGCTCAGCTCAGTTATACTTATTATTTTCATTTTACTATTATTATTTGCGCTGCTTATTTTGAACAATTTGTCTTGCAAGTTGACTAAATAACCGCAGAGAGCATCTCAAGTCAAGAGTCCAGAGCTCTGCTCGTTTTGTTTGTTTACTTTCAAATATCCTTGCAGCTTCCTCCTGCGTCCAGCTTTGTCCAGTTGTTGTTCATTTCTTGTATTTCTGCTTATTATGATTATTTTTATTATTTTGTTGTTGGCTTTCGCTTTGGATTTGGCTTTGGATTTGGCCAGGACCACTTCGGGTTTGGTTTCGTGTGGCTTAAGAGGCCGCGAAATAAAATGAAAAATGCTCATGGCAAATTAAGCGTCGAACTCATTTTTGTGAATTTATTAGCTTAATTTTAAGGGGACTGAGTGGCAGGGGGGGGCTGAGTGGCTAGCTAGCTTCACAGTTGCCATGGGCGCCACATTACATTTTGATTAATTTAACGTCCATTTTTTCTTTTTTTTTCATTCGCTTTCTTTTTTTTTAGGGCCATGGCAATTGCTACCTGGCAATGGAATAAGAGGAGGATGGGGATGTGGCTGGTTTTGTGGCTGTATTTCAAGCTAAAACTCAATCAAGCGTAATAGCTCGAAACTGTTGAAACGTCAAAGAAATACTTTTAATGTATATTCCTGATAAATTCGATATACTATACTATATATATATATTGGAAAGTTTCCTGTTTTCATGTTATTCATATCTGAGTTAAAAGTTTAATGACGACATCGATTGGAGAATTTTGTTTGTAATTTTTGTTGTTTTTCATTGTAACTTAATAATATAGACACAGGATAAATGAAAACAGCAAAATATTCTGAGAAAAGCGGTCAACAAAATTCTTAGAATTTAGCTGTAGAAGGCAAATAAACACAAACAAAAATAAATTTCGGAAATTATATCGATTTTGGGTAGCTAAACAGTCTTGTTAAAAATAAATCAAAATATTCGCACTTAATTTTACCTGACAAATTTTATATACATTTACATTTTACATGAAATTAGTTAAATTTTATTTAAAAAAGGAATCGCAACTTAACCAATAAAAATTCAATAACAGAACCGATTTTTTTTGGGAACCAGCTACAGGAATTGGAACTACCGAAACGGAAATGAAGAGCGAAAACTAATGTGTTACAAGTGTGGAACATTTATCGAAATGTTTACACTTCCTGCTAGAAAACCACCAATTTTTTTTTCAACAAATTTTTGCATTTAAAACAAATTAACAATTTTTTTTTTTTTAATATACTTTCCAGCGCAATGGGAAATTTTAATTCTGATCCCCACCAAAAGTTGGCAAGTTGGCCTTATTCCCTGCATCCACCAATCATCTTCATCAACGTCCTCATCATTTACTTAGACCAGCAGCCGGAACACTTTGTGTTTAAGTTTTAATTTCTCTTGATGAGATTTTTTCACAGTTGCAGCCACACAAGTTGTAGATATGTAGACATATGTGCATCAAGAGGAAATGACGAGTGTACATATGTCTATATGTAAATGTGTAGGAGGGGTTGGGCTTATAAATCATGCACTCGACATTATTAAAGTAGATCTTATAAACTTCTTGAGTGCATATGCAAGCAGACGAGGCCAAAGCGAGAAACTTTTTAAATAAAATTTCAATTTTGATAACTTTTATGGCAAGATGGCTTGCAGCCGACGCGGGGGCGTGCGGTGTGTGTCTGGTATGCAAGGGGTAAACCACACACACAGATCCACACACACACACACACACACACACACAGCTGTGCAATTGCAGAGCAGTTCCGTTCTGCGCGCACAAATAGCAATTTTTGGGGTTTTTGTTCCCAGTTCTTTTTTTTTCATTTGCTGGTCCCAAAGAAATGACTTGCATTCTTACCGCTGCCAGTAAGGGTTTCTTTCTGCTCATTTGAATACCCTTGCCGAAGGTATATCCTTTTCTATATGTGTAAGTATTTTATTGAATGCTCTGAAAAGTCATAAGGCATATTTATTTTTAATGTGCGTTGAGGCTTTGTCGAAACTGTCTTGCAACTTAACCATGCTAATATAACTAAAGAGAAAAATAAATATATTTTTAACAATTGTTTTATTTATTGCTTTCTTACATCTTTTTTATTTGTACTTTAATGCTCAGTTTTATTCATTCAACTCTGATTTGCAGTCAACAATTTGACATTTTGCAGTTCTTTATTCAATTAAATTTCATTATTATTATTATTATTGTTATTGCTATTTATTGATATTTCAAGCTCCAAAAGGAATAATCACTCATTAAGTAAACATTCAAGTTTTCTTAATTTTCATTTGGACTTTTACTTAAATTTTCTAGACTTCTTGATAATCGATCCTTGAGACTCCCCTTAAGAACTTTCAAATCGTATCATTAGCTAAAGTTTGCCCTCCTATTCGGCTGTTCTGGACTTCTCGGAGTGGTTATTAGCAATGAACCACACTCTGGCTCAAATTTTCCTATAACTTCTCTAAGATATTCCTCTGGATTCTTCAAATTCAATTATATTGTAGCCATATAACATTTGTAACTGTGATCTTAAACTAGTTGAAGGTAATCGCTTCAAACATTTTAACACAATAAATCTAAAACGTTTTTCAAATTAGTGTATCAATTTCGAATTCCCTCCGCAAGGGTAGCAAATATTTGGTATGCCCAGAAAAAATATTTGATTTTTTTTCTACTCATTTTTCATGCCGCTGCATTTCCGGCAGTGACTTTTATGAGGCTGCATCTTGAGTTTTGTATCGCAACAGTGTGTGTGTGTGTGTGTGTGAAGGGTGTGTCTGTGTATGTGTGTGTGCCAAGTGCTGCAGCTCAAGCGAAGCACATAATTGACTCTGCCTGCTGCCTCAGCTGCTGCCTGCTGCCTGCTGCATGTTGCATGTCCTACGCCCAGCCAGTAAAACCGAAAAAGGAATTTCTAATGTGAAAATAAGTGCTGCCTCCGCTATTATGTTGCATCGTCGCAGGACTTATGCAAAACAGTCGCAGAATTGTTATGCAAATTGCAGCCAATTACATGACAAATGCCTGCCCAACCAGCCCAACTTCGCTCTGCTCCTTCTCCCTCCCCTTCCCATCCCCTACCATCCCATCCCAACCCATTCCATCTGCAATCCACCTGCAACTCTATCGTGCATATCTCTCAATAAGTACTTCTTTGACTGAATTTGCCTCGGCAATTGCATTCAACAACTACACTGAACCGCACAATTTGCGGTTCTAAATCAATTTCTGTGTGTCTGCAAATAAAAAATGAACTAATCGAGATTGTAAATAGATGAAACTCGCTCTGTCTCTCTCTGAATGTTGCCTGCATCATGTTGCACAAGCATTTCAGTACAGCTATATTATGAATTCCTGCTCTAAATAGTGTGTTGATTGATTGAAGATTGTAGTGACATATATTGATTAGCAAATATTTTTGTTAAGAAAGAAAAGACTGGAGTTAATAAAATATCTAAACTTGATAATATATAAATTATAAATATTTCTTGGCTTGTTGATACTGGAAATTCAAAAATTGTATCTTGAAATTGATCAAAGATTTGAGCACATATTTATTTTCTAAAAATTGAATCTTCCCTTTAAATTAATATCAATTTAAGTATGTTTAATAAATTATTCTGTATTTAATTTGAAATCAATTGTCTTTGAATGCTTAAGAAACATTTTCAGAATTCTGAATTTATTAAAATCCTTAACAATTGATATAAATATTAGTTACTTGACAGTATTTTAGTTTGTGACAAGGAAACACCTAAAACCTAATCAGTAAAATGTTCTTTTATACTTAAATAATAAGAAATTTGCTGAGCAATAAACTAAGTACTTATTTGAGTAGCTCAGATAAGGTATAAAATGCCTCCATAAGCCATTTATCGATGGATCACTGTATGCATAGATGTACTAAGGTTTTGTGGCACAGTGTCAAATGTCACATGCTTATTTGGCTTGTCTTGCTGCCTGCTTCCCTCAACCAGAGGCATGCCACGTGTCTTGTTAACTGTAGCTGAAGCTCGTGACTTGTTCGTTAG